CCGAAGGTTGAGGCTGCAGTGAGCTGTGATTGTGCCACTGCACTCCAGCCTGGATGACAAAGTGAGGCCCTATCTCAAAAACGAATACATCAAATTGTGGTAAAAACATGGAACATAAAACCATCTTAATCATCTCCACCATTTTTAAGTGTACAGTTGAGTGGCATTGAGTGCATTCACACGGTTGTGCAATCTGTCCTCATGTCTCTTTTCTTTCCAAAAGGAAACTCTGCCCATTAAGCAGGAACTCTCTATTTCCTTCTCCCCACTGGCACCACCATTCTGCTCTCTGTCGGAATCCATTTGACTGCTCCAGGTACCTCATAGAAGAGGGATCATACAGAATTTGTCCTTTTGTGTTTGGCTTATTTCACTCATCATAATGTCCTCAAGGTTCATCTATGTTGTAGCTAATGTCAGAATTTCCCCTCTTTTTAAGGTCGAGTAATATTCCATTGTATGGACGTACCACACTTTGTTTAGCCATTCATCTATGGATGGACACTTGGTTTGCTTTCACATTTTAGCTATTGTGAATAATGCTGCCATGAGCATGAGTCTGCAGATGTTTCCTTGAGACTGTGTTTTCAATTCTTTCGGGTATCTACCTAGAAGTGGGATTACTAGATCATATGGTAATTCTATTTCTAATTTTTTTCAGAAACATAATACTGTTTTCCATAGATGCTGTACCATTTTACATCCCCAGCAACCATGCAGTTTCCAATTTCTCCATGTTCTTGCCAAAATTTGTTATTTTCTGTTTTTTTTTGCTAGTAGCTATCCTAATGGCTAAGAGGTGGCCTGTTGCCTCTTTTTTTTTTTTTTTTTTTTTTGAGACAGAGTCTCGCTCTGTCGCCAGTGCTGGAGTGCAGTGGCTTGATCTCAGCTCACTGCAAGCTCCGCCTCCTGGGTTTACGCCATTCTCCTGCCTCAGCCTGGGACTACAGGCGCCCGCCACCTCGCCTGGCTAGTTTTTTTTTTTTTTTTTTTTTGTATTTTTTAGTAGAGACGGGGTTTCACCATGTTAGCCAGGATGGTCTCGATCTCCTGACCTCGTGATCCGCCCGTCTAGGCCTCCCAAAGTGCTGGGATTACAGGCGTGAGCCACCGCGCCCGGCCGGCATGTCGTCTCTTTGAGACTCAGTTTCTCATCTGCCCCACAGGGACACAGTAGGGCTAGATTATCTCCAGCTTCTGATGTCTCATGGTGCCTTCCTTCTTGCCATGAAAGTAAGTATTGCTTATGCACATATACACCTTAGTCAATTTAGTTATATCTTTTCAGCTTGGGGCCCCAAGGTAGAAACTATTTTAATATGAAGACAGGAAACAAGAAATATGAAAAGGGATTGAAGAAGGCATTCCAAGGACAACTTCCAAACCCTCCTCTCCACTCCTTCCAGACCATAGATGCACATAATTCTGGATCACAAAGAGTCCTTTGGACGGAACAATACTTTACTCTTTCTTCTCTTCCTCTCATTTTCTTTTTTGCTTGTAATTCACACACCCAGGTGACTGGGCGCAGTGGATCACACCTGTAATCCCAGCACCTTGGGAGGCAGAGATGGGAGGGTTGCTTGAGGCTGGGAGTTTAGTCTGGGCAAGATTTGGTCTCTACAAATAAATTATCTCGGTGTGGTGGTGCGTACCTGTAGTCCTAGCTATTCAGGAGGCAGAGGCAAAGGATCACTTGAGCCCCGGAGTTCAAGGCTGCAGTGAGCTATGATCACACCACTGTGCCCCAGCCTGGGCAATAGAGCAAGACCCTGTCTGGCTCAAGCAACAACAAAGGAAGGAAGGAAGGGGAAAAAGAGAGAGAGGAAGGAAGGGAGAGAGGCAGGGAGAGAGGGATGGAGGCAGGGAAGAGAGAGAGAGAGAGAGGCAGGCAGGCAGGGAAAGAAAGAAAGAGAGAAAGAGAGAAAGAAAGAAAGAAAAAAGAAAGAAAGAAGAAAAAAGAAACGCACACACACCCATCTCCCACTCTTCACAGTGTCATGATGTCATTTAACATAAGTGCAAGGCAAAGTTCAAGGCGTTTAATTCTAGCTTTTACAAAAACCAAAAGCATCTTGAGTTAAGTACTATTATCTTCATTCCCTAACTTTTGGCATTTGCTGACTCATTATTTCATATGTGGCTTGGGTGAGAAAAGCACCCAGGTGGAAACCTCCTCCCCCAGCTACTTCTCTGGCCAATGTGAACTGTTCTGAACTTCCCATACGCTTTCTCGCAGCTTCTGCCTGAGGCTGAAATCCTTTCTGGGGTGTTTTCCCAACTCTCATCAGGACAGGATGCAGAATCAGGTGTCATGCTCTGTCCAAACCCGGCCTGGCTCCGGCCTTCTCCTGCAGTCTCGCTTCTCACTGCTCACTCTCCTGATATTTACCCAGACCCACCGTGTGGCATCTCATTGCAGTGCTCGTCAGGCCATTCTTCTGCTTGAACTGTCCTTTCTACCCATCCTCCCACAGCTAACTCTGCTTATGCTTTTAGACTCAGCATAAACATCCTCTCCCCCAGGAAGCCTTCCCTGAATACAAACCCCCAAGTTGAGCTAAATGTCCCTGCTTGGGTCTCCCACAACACTTACGCTCACCCCTTCTTATCATAACTGACATTGCAGTTGAAGTGCGTGAAGCACACATTTAACTAATGGAATTCCACTAACTCCTTGGCCAGAAGGAGAAAGAGAATAACTTTATTTATTTATTTATTTATTTATTTTTGAGGCACGTTCTTGCTCTGTCTCCCAGGCAGGAGTGCAGTGGGCATCGCCCTTCTGCCATTTTTTTTTTTTTTTTTTTTTTTTTTAGTTTTTGTAGAGACAAGGTCTCACTCTGTTGCCCAGGCTGGTCTCCAACTCCTGGGCTCAAGTGACCTCCCACCTCAGATTCCCAAGTAGCTGGGATTACAGATGTGCATGCCATCTCCCTATTCACATTTTGTTTTCTTTTATTTCGTTTTTTGAGACGCAGTATTGCTCTGTTGCTCAGGCTGGAGTGCAGTGAGGTGATCTTGGCTCACTTCAACTCTGCCTCCCAGGTTCAAGAGATTCTCTCGCCTCAGCCTCCTGAGTAGCTGGGACTACAGGCACACACCACCATGCTTGGCTAATTTTTTGTATTTTAGCAGAGATGGGGTTTCACCATGTTGGCCAGGCTGGTCTCAAACTCCTGAGCTCAGGCAATCCACCCACTTCGGCCTCCCAAAGTGTTAGGATTACAGGCGTGAGCCACTGTGCCTGGCCCCTATTCACATTTTAAATAGAACCACTCTTGGCCCCCTGGGCACTCCCTTCTGAGGGTTAGATGGGAGCCCTGAGTGTTATCTTAGTCCTCAGGTGTTTTAACTTTGGGAGCCTCTGGCCCCTCTGGGAGTGAATCTGGCGTTTAAAGATACATATATTTGGCTGGGCACAGTGGCTCACGCCTGTAATCCCAGCACTTTGGGAGGCTGAGACGGGCGGATCACGAGGTCAAGAGATCAAGACCATCCTGGCTAACACGGTGAAACCCCGTCTCTACTAAAAATACAAAAAAATTAGCCAGGCGTGGTGGTGGGCACCTGTAGTCCCAGCTACTCTGGAGGCTGAGGCAGGAGAATGGCGTGAGCCCGGGAGGCGGAGCTTGCAGTGAGCCGAGATCGCGCCACTGCACTCCAGCCTGGGCAATAGAGCGAGACTCCGTCTCAAAAAAAAAAAAAAAAAAAAGATACATATATTTCCTGGAGCAAGAAAGGTCTCAAACATCGCAAGACAGTTGGGATGCCAACGGATCAAAGGGGAAGCAAGCATGACATAGCCACCCACTACAAGGGCTTACCTATTATCCAAGCTTTGGGAACTAGGTTAGAATCCCAGCTCTGTCGCTAACCAACCTGTGTACTTTAGCCAAGTCACTGTACCTGTCTAGACTTCGGATCGCATGTGTGTCTGTCCATCTCACAGGGTTACCCTGAGACTAAATGAGGTAACAAATGTCATGAACCTACAAGGTAGACTCGACTCTGGGTAACAGTTAGTGTCACCCCCATCCCACACTACTCTCCCTCTTCGGACCCTGCACCCATGGATTCCATCCACCGCTGGCCAGGAGCTGAGTAGAGGCACCGAACACGTGAAGAGGTGAATGGGCAAGGAAGGTTTCTAGGTCAGGTAGCATTTCCAGGGTTCCCGCCTGCAGGCGTCTACCAAGTCTGACCCGAGGCTGGCACCCAAAGATGCTTCCAGTCTTCCAGCAGCGACGCACTGACTATAAGAAAAGTCTGCTTATAAATTCCCTACAGGCATTTAGGAACTGGTCCCTGGGGGCCTCGACAGATTCATTTCGCCCCCGACTCCATCCCCTTTGTGCCACCCTCGTTATTGCACTCTTCCATCCGGATGGCATTTAGCTGGGTCCAGGTCTGTCACCCGCCTGATCACCAGCTCCTTGAGGGCAAGAGGCTCCTGCTGCCCTCGGAGTCCGCGCCCAGCCCGCAGCTGCTCAGATCCGGAGACGGGAAGGTTTGTGGGCGAGAGCCTGACGCCCGGGTCACAGTTAAGGATGCAAGAGCCCGGCTCCTTCCCGTAGCCCCGGCCCTGTCATTAATGCTGGGGCTCCAGTCGGTGCAGCGCAGTCCCAAGGATGCAACCGCAACTTTTGTGCACAGTAGGCTCTCGATCTGTAATTCAGCCAACCCAGGCCTGTAGTCTGTAAATGCCAACTCAGCGGGAGGGCTCTGGCTGTCGCCCAGAGCCGTTTCTCGGCTCTTTCGGCGTTGCCGGAGCGCTCCGTACAGGAGGAACCCGCCGCCCGCGGTAGTCAGTGGAGACCCGGACAGCGCTTCCCCGCCCTCTTCAACGCCCCCGCGGCGGGGTCTGGACCAAGTCGCCCCTAGCAACAACAGCCGGGCCAGCTTTCTCAGGCCACGCTGATTGGCGGGACTCCGGGAGGCGGCCTGTCGTCACTTCCGGCAGCCGGAGGCAGCAGAGGAAGCCGAGGAGCGGCCATCTTGGGTCCGTGAGGCTCCGAGGTGCCGGGGTGCGGCGGCAGCGGCGGCGGCCAGCAGGGCGGAGGCTGAGGCAGCAAGCTCACTAGAGAGGGAGAAGCAGCCGGGCGCAGGCGCCTCCTCCGCAGCCCGCTCCATGGTCGGCGCCCACAGCCCGCGGCGGCCTGTCTTGCGCTCCACTTCCTTCACATCCTCCTCCGCCCCCTCTTTTTCAGGCGCCGCCGGCGGCGCTGTGTGGAGGCCCGGGAGCTGAAATTCGCGGCGCGACGGGCGGGAGTGGAGAAGGAGGCGAGGGGGCCCGGGATCGCGGGGCGCCCTGAGGCGAGGGGACGCCGGCGGGCCGAAGCCGGCAGCCCGCCGCAGGCTCGGCTCCGCCACTGCAGCCCTCCCGGGCTCCTCGCCTCGGCCGCCGGGGCAGGGAGAGAATGAGCCCCGGGACCCGCCGGGGGATGGCCCGGGCCAGGCCCGGGATCTAAACGGCCGTAGAGGGAAGGGAGCCGCCCTCCCCACGGCGCCGCTTCGAAACTGCCGTGGACTCGAGGACGCTGGTCGCCGGCCTCCTAGGGCTGTGCTGTTTTGTTTTCGCCCTCGCATTGTGCAGAATTAAAGTGCAGTAAAATGTCCACTAGGACCCCATTGCCAACGGTGAATGAACGAGACACTGAAAACGTAAGTAACCTGGGCGTTGTAGTTGGCGGACCTTCGGGATGGCCTTCGTGCTCCTCGGGCAGTGCCTTGCAGTCGGGTGTTCCCCCCCAGCCCGAACGCTCTGGAAATAGAGGGCAGGCCGTAGTCACCCAAGAGGCAGCCAGGTCGGACCGTTTCCTCCAGAAGTCCGCCCTGTCCCGCTGTTCGCGGGCGGGTCTGCGAAGTATATCGATTATGCCTGCAGTCTAGTCGATTAGTAAAGCCCATAAGTTGCATCGTTACGAATCGGTGCTTTGAGAGGCCGGGTTGCCGCTCAATGGATTGTGCAAGTGTGCGTGTCAGATCACTGCAGTGGTCAGTGCTTATTTTAACCGAACTCTGCTTTTAACTTGGTCAGGCATTTCTTGAGAGACTATCACATTAATACCATATGTTACTGGTGCTGATTAAGAGTAATCGATTGAGTCAGGTGGGCTGTCTCGTTCTTTAAGATGGTCTGGAACTAAATTTAATCACAGTCACTAAGTGTCTACTGAGGGATCTTTGCGGTCCCCTTAGGAATTCCAAAACACTAGCGCGCAGCCTTTATTAAGGCATAGTTTCCTTTCCATACAAATCTGTTTTGAAGGAGTTAAACATTTTGAAAAGCAGATGTATAGTGAAGCTCTGCTCTGCCACTCACTGCCTAGCTGAGGGACACCCGCTGGGGCTTCGATGTCCTCCTTCCTAAAAAGAGGTTGACTTAGATGAGCTCTTAGGTCCGTTTCAGCGCTCACAGGCTATGATTTTATAAAAGGAACCTTTGATTTTGTGCATGTGAAACTACAAAATGCCAGGAACAGCATTGCTAGAGAATGAGAACTTGTAGTAGAAATTCCATTGAAGAAACGTTTGACTCTGTTCGTTTTCTGAACTCTCCTCTAACACTGGGTTCAAAAGTGTTTCAATCTAGTTGTTGCCTATATTCTGTAAAACGTCTAGTAAATAACTTGTAAAGAAACTTCACTGGCCTTTCATTAAAAGTGTTATGAGGTAATTGCTGGCACGAAATGTCTTCTCTTAGGGAATGCTTCCTTGCTTTCAGTGTTTTCATGCTTTCAGTAATGTCCTGAGATGTTATGGCCTAGTGGTGTCAATGTTTTAATTTTGATCTTCAAAAATGCCACTTGTTTGCTGGATAGCTATTTGATAATTTAATCTGTAAACGTAAAACCATAGCCTAAAACATCCCTGTAGCATATTAGTGTATAATATTTAATGTTCTTTAGCCCTTAGTGAGTAGAACAGTGGTGTACCTTTCTCCACCTGAGAGAGATTAGAAAATTATATAAAGAGCGAGTAATAGAAACTCTTAGACAGGTGAGTCAGGGAACTATTTTCTTATGGTCCTTTTAAAGAAACCTTTTTTTTTTTTTTTTTTTTTTTTTTGAGGCAGACCGAGACTGTTTCCCAGGCTGGAGTGTGGTGGTGCGATCTTGGCTCACTGCAGCCTCCGCCTCCCAGGCTGAAGTGATTATCATGCCTCAGCCTCCCGAGTAGCTGAGATTACAGGCATGCACCACCACGCCTGGCTTGCATTTTTGTATTTTTAGTAGAAAGGGTTTCACCATGTTGGCCAGGCTGGTCTAGAACTCCTAGCCTCATGTGATCCACCCGCCTCGGCCCCTCAAAGTGCTAATATTACAGGCGTGAGCCAGTGTGCCCAACTGGTTAGTTTTGATCATTGATATTCACTCAGAGAAGCAAAACTTTACGTTGAACCAGAGTAGGAGCTCCATGCTTTCTAAACTGAAGCCGAAAACAGTCATAGCAGATTTGTGATAATGAAGGATTTCAAATGGGTCTTCTTTCTTTCTTTCTTTTTTGAGATGGAGTCTGGCTCTGTCTCTCAGACTGGAGTGCTGTGGCACGATCTCGGCTCACTGCAACCTCCACCTCCCAGGTTCAAGTGATTCTCCTGCCTCAGCCTCCTGAGTAGCCAGGATTACAGGCATGCACCACCACTCCGGGCTAATTTTGTATTTTTAGTAGAGACGAGGTTTCTCCATGTTTGTCATGCTGGTCTCCTGACCTCAGGTGATCCGCCCGCTTCGGCCTCCCAAAGTGCTGGTATCACAGGCGTGAGCCACCACGCCCGGCCGTGTAGTGTATTTAAAATGAATTTTTGACTGTTTTAAAATCAAGTTTATTACATATTGTTGCGTTGATTTACCATGCCCGGTTACATTTTTAACTCTTTTTTTTTTTTTTTTTTTTTTTTGAGACAGAGTCTCGCTCTGTCGCCCAGGCTGGAGTGCAGTGGCCAGATCTCAGCTCACTGCAAGCTCCGCCTCCCGGGTTTACGCCATTCTCCTGCCTCAGCCTCCGGAGTAGCTGGGACTACAGGCGCCCGCCACCTCGCCTGGCTAGTTTTTTGTATTTTTAGTAGAGACGGGGTTTCACCGTGTTAGCCAGGATGGTCTCGATCTCCTGACCTCGTGATCCTCCCGTCTCGGCCTCCCACAGTGCTGGGATTACAGGCTTGAACCACCGCGCCCGGCCTTTAACTCTTGTATTGGCATGTTCTGGAAGGAGCTGTGTAGCTTTCACAGTGTGGAGCCCTTGTGTCAGTGTTACAACTCAGGTATAGACTTTGTTACCTACATTACTGCACTGCTAGGTATTAGACTTCCTGCCAATTGAGTGGTGAATGTACAAGAATGAATGGGAGCTCTCATTCTGTTGAGAAGCTTTTTTCTTAAAGTTAGGTTTGTTGAGATGTAATGTTCATCCATTTTAAATATACAGTTTGGTGAGTTTTGACAAGCGTATAGTTATGTAACCACCATCACAATCATGATGTAGAACACTTCCATCACCAGAAAGCTCCCTTATGGCCCTTTATAGTCAGTGCCTTCTCCCTTTCTCAACCCCTGGGCAACCACTGATCTGCTTTCTGTCCCTGTGGTTTTGCCTTTTCAAGGATGCTATGTAAATGGAGTCACAAGAGTAAATAATCTTTTGTGTCTTCTTTCACTTAGCGTAGTACTTTTGAGATTTATTTCAATGTGTATCAGTAGTTCATTCCTTTTTATTGCTGTGTGAGTATTTCCTTGTTTGGATGTGCCACAATTTTTTTAATCCACTCACCAGTGATGGACGTTTTTGGCTATTGTGACTAGAATAGGTATGTTTTAGTATTTTGTAAAAATACTTTTTATTTATCCCAGGAATAAATAAAATTTATTCCTTTTTGCTTATCCCAGGAATCTTATTTAAATTTTAAATAATTGTATATAGCTATGATAAGAATGTTCCATATTAGATCAAGACTAAGAAAAGGCAGGCCGGGTGTGGTGGCTCATGCTTGTAATCCCAGTACTTTAGGAGGCTAAGGTGGGCAGATGGCTTGAGGCCAGGAGTTGGAGGCCAGCCTGGCCAACATGGTGAAACCCCATCTCTACAAAAAAAAAAAAAAAAAAAGACTGGGTGCGGTGTCTCACACCTGTAATCCCAGCACTTTGGGAGGCTGAGGCGGGCAGATCATGAGGTCAGGAGATTGAGACCATCCTGGCTAACTTGGTGAAACCCTGTCTCTACTAAAATTACAAAAAGTTAGCCGGGCGTGGTGGCGGGCGCCTATAGTCCCCGTTACTTGGGAGACTGAGGCAGGAGAATGGTGTGAACCCGGGAGGCGGAGCTTGCAGTGAGCCGAGATTGGGCCACTGCATTCCAGCCTGGGCGACAGAACAAGAGTCCGTCTCAAAAAAAAAGTTAGCTGGTTGCGGTGGTGCATGCCTGTAATCCCAGCTACTCAAGAGGCTGAGGCGGGAGAATCACTTGAACACAAGAGACGAAGGTTGCAGTGAGCCAAGATCATGCCACTGCACTGCAGCCTGGGTGACAGAGTAAGACTCTGTCTCAAAAAAAAAAAAGAAAAAAAAAAATTGCAACATAAATATTATCTTCATCCTTGTACACTAATTTTTGTTTGATTTCCAAATGTTAATGTCCACCCTTAGTGAATGGGTATATAAAAGTTTACTGTTGGCCAGGTGTGGTGGCTCACACCTGTAATCTCAGCACTTTGGGAGGCCAAGGCAGGTGGATCACCTGAGGTCAGGAGTTCGAGACCAGCCTGACCAAGATGGCAAAACCCTGTCTCTACTAAAAATACAAAAATTAGCTGGGCACAGTGGCAGGCGCCTGTAATCCCAGCACTTGGGAGCCTGAGGCAGAAGGATTGCTTGAACCCTGGAGACGGAGAGTGCAGTGAGCTGAGATTGAGCCATTGCACTCCAGCCTGGGTGACAGAACGAGACTCCGTCTCAAAAAAAAAAAAAAAGTTCGCTGTTGCCACATTGTGTTATAGCTCAGAAGAACTACTCAATCTAATCCAGTGAGGATGCTGAGACTCTGCGAGGTGACAAAAGCTGCTACTAATGACAGGAGACCATTAAATATTTAATAGCAGAGCCTCTACTGGGCCCCAGATCTCTAGCTTAGGCTCCACAGGGAGATGTAGTTGTACCTGTACACAGAGTATTTCTAAAACTTTTTTTTTTTTTCTTTTTTTTTTTAAGCTTGTAGATCAGAGGTGTCCAATCTTTTGGCTTCTCTGGGCCACATTGGAAGAAGAATGTCTTAGGCCACAAATAAAATACACTAATACTAACGATAGCTGATAAGCTTTAAAAAAAATTGCTGTTTTAACAAAGTTTGTGAATTTGTGTTGGGTCACTTTCAGAGCTGTGCTGGGCTGCATGCAGCCCTTGGACCGTGGATTGGACAAGCTTGCTGTAGATTTTATTTTTATTTTGAGACAGTATCTCGCTCTGTCACCCAGGCAGGAGTGCAGTGGAGCAATCACAGCTTGCTGTAGCCTTGACCTCTTGGGCCCAAGCAATCCTTCCAACTCAGCCTCCCGAGTAGCTGGCACTACATGCGTGCCCTACCACATGCAGGGCTAATTTTTAATGTTTTCGTAGAAATAGGATCTCCCTATATTGTCCAAGGTGGTCTCTAACTCCTGGGCTCAAGCA